TTTACTTAATAAAATTTTAAGAAAACCGGAAAAAACAAAAATTTTAAAATATAGTTATAACTCAGTAGTAAAGAACTTTAGAGCTATAAAACTAGACTGTCTATAAGTAAAATTAGGAGTAGAGCAACTTTACTTAGGCAGCCAGAGGTGATTTACTTAATAAAATATTTGATAAACAGCAAATGTTTTCAAGAGAAGTTTGGTACAAGTGATCATTGGGAAGAGTTAGTGATTTGTGTCCAACTTTATGTCCAGAGCATTTTTATTTATTTACTTTTTATATAAAAAATATATATAATTTTATATTTGTTTCAAAATAATGCCTATGCGTATACTCAAAATAATATGCATATATTCAAAATAATATACAGATACCTATTATTTTGAGAATTTATAGTAATATTATATTTTACAAAAACAATAATTTACAACTCTCCCTAATGATCATCTGGTCAACAAAATTCAAGAAACTAAACTATGGTCAGCACTATAGAAAATGCTTAAATAACTACTAAACTTGGCTTATAGAAGTAGATATATTGTCGACAAAGTACTAAGAATATAAAACCAAGAAGCAGTCTACTTTGAACTAGTTTTTGTAAAGGTCAAACTTTGGTCAGTAGACTCCTCTATTATATTTAATATCCAAACCAAAAGGATATTTTGGAAATATAGAATGACTAGATCAATACCAGGAGTATTACAAGCTTTAGGTTTATCTATACAACTGTAAAACTTATAAAAAATAACTACAGAAAAGTTTTATTAGCCTACTACTTTTTTTTTGAGAAAATTTTGTCAAAAAGTAAGCATCTTAGCTTACTTCTCCAAAAGATCAATATTTAATTTTTCAAAATAGTCAGTATTGTTTACTTGTTTATGTATATGAATAGAACTTCTAAAATAGGATAACGAGTGGACATCCAGAATAAGCAACCAAATACAGGCCATTTAACAACACAAATAGGATTCGTGCCTCAAACCAAAAAAACTGTTAAACAATATTTAAAGACTTCTGTTCAGATTTCAGGCTAACTTTATCTAGATCGACTATGGTATTTAGTTTTAGCCAGCTTTTTTAACTTTTTTACTCTTACACATAGTTCATCACGAAATTTGTTAAAATATTTGTTAAGTATTTATAAAATATTTGTTTAATATTTAATAAATACTTATTGAATATAAGGTATATTAGAAATGCAATTACAAATACTTACTTAAAATATTTATAAATATTTAAAAATTAAATATTTAATAAAAGAAATTTATAAATTTATCTGTAGTGTATGAACACAGATATAATTTATTGAATTACATATTCATGCAACATACTAATCAAAGTAATTTTTACAAAAGAAAAATTAAACCCTCGCTTATGGTTAGAGTAAGGGTGGGTTTAGGATTGGACAAGACATAGCTTATACCAAAATTTTGCAAGGAATTTTTTTTGTTATAAGCCAAAAGGTGGTTTCATAATTTAAATTTTGAGATATCTATTTGCCTGTGTATATATATGTAGTGTACAAATAGAAATTGCCTTTAATAAATATCAAATTTAATATTAATTAAGTATTTAAAATTTTAAATATTTAAATAATATTAAATTTAAATACTTATTTAATATTTTTATTTGTCAAATATAAGATTGTGCTTAGTTTAATTTCGTGATAGTTTATTAGAATAAATAATATTATAGAGCTTTTTTATCTAGTAATATGTAATTTTTTAGGCCTAGCACAGGCTGATAATTGTGACTGTTATATTTTTTTTTTCTTTTTTTTTCTACTTTTCGTCTTTGTATTTGTTTTTTAATATTAGTTTTCATTTCTTTTTTCTTTCTCTTTTTAAGATTAGTATTAGTATTAGAGAATTTTTTGTTTTTTCACTTCTCTACAAGAAAATATCATCAGATTGGTGGTATCCTATTATAGAGCAATAGTCTAACAAGGCTTCTAGGGTTGGCTTAGGTTATTTGATTTAGGTTATCGAAGTTCTTTAGGGGAAGTTTGGCCTGGTACGGCTGGTCACTTGTAAGTGTTCTCAAAGTAATTGCAGAATATCAAGCCTAAATATTAAGCTCAACATTGTGTCACATCTGTAGTACAATAATTTTAATAAAAGATTACTAGCAAGATAGCTAAAGTAAAAAAAAAATACTATATTTTACTTTATATAAAAAATAACATTTTTCATTATTATAAGTTTTGTAACTTACTTATAAAAATTTAGATTTATATTAAGAGCAAAATTTTTTTTTAGCTTCAGAAATATATAAAATCTTAAAAAATCTTGAAAAATTTTTAATAATAAAAATTTTTAAACTAAAACTTTAAAGTTTTATTACTCAAAAGTTTGCTAATAACTTTAAAAAATTTTTATAATAAAGTTTATAAAATATATTTTTAAGAATATATTCTATAATAAATATATACTCATAGTATTAATAAATTATTATTTTATTTAAAAAATACGAAATATACTTTAATTTTTCAGGCAAATTTGTCTGGATTACAGTTTAAGAGATAAAAATAATGTTTAAGGGATAAGAATAATGAGATAATAAAAGAATAATATCATCTTTTTTTATAGTTTACAGTTATTTGCCTATTTTTTTTTATGTATATATTTTTGAATACCTGTTTTTCACCATGTTAGTTGCCAAATAATTTAATAAAAAAATCTGGCTTTATTAGCTATTTTAATAGTTAAGATATTTTTAGGCTGACAATTAGTATTACTATGAGGTTTGAACAATATTGATTTATATTTTCGAATCTAACTAAAGATATATTGAGTAACCTTTGGACTACACATCCAAAATACTTGAAAAAATATGAACAAACATTACCAAAATAAGGAAACTGATAACTTCTAATTTTATTTTCTTTTATATATAAATCAAAATTAGAAGCAGCAAGAAGTATTAACATCAAATAATAATATCTTTTTTGCTATAGTAATACTTTCTAATACCAAAGACTCTAATAATATTAATAAAACCTTTTATTATATTTTTCTTTGCATTTATAACACTATTAGAGTTTTTTAACAAGATCTTTTAAGGCTATTGAAAGAGTTTTATTAGAATCTGTAGATATGGTATCTTCATTACTTGTATTTTCTAATTCTTCATCAGAGTATAAATCCTCCTCTGTTTCATCATACTCTGATTCTGAAGTAGGTTCAAAAAACTGACCCAAATTTTCTGGAAATTCTATTATAAATTAGTATAAGTATAAAAAAATTATTGAGGTTTTTTCTTAATTACAAATTTAATTAATTGCTTGTATTCTAAAAAATTAGATCTAAAGCACAGTACTTATATACATTTGTTATTTTACAAATTCATTTAACCAAATTGATAATTATTGATATCAGCTTATATAAAATCAACTAAATAAATTTAACTACAATTGTTAATTTTTTATTATACAGGATTTATTTTTAGATTCAGAAAAAGTTAACAATAGAGTCAATGAAGCTCAATAGATATTTATTTATTAAATACTATTCAGATTTTTTGAATAATAGTCAATAGATACTTATTAATTAAATTATTTATTATTAATCCTGAGTTTTGATATTATTAAATTACTATAGAGGTCGATTTAATTTAATAAAATAGTGAAAATGAGAAATTGAACTTTGAAAATTAGATCTAAAAAAATTTATTTGTATATTGTTAATAAAAAAAAATTAAAAAATTAATTTTTTGCATAATATTTATTAATAAAATATACAATATAATATTGAATAATTTCTTTATATAAAATTTGCTCACAAAATTGCATACATATTGCTCTAAGTATATTAAGAGCTTCCTGTTAATGTATACTAAAAATTAATGCTTCTGCTAATCAATGAAGCCAACTGTATTTTTTATCACTTTTTTAAAACACATCTATAGTGTTTTACTACCTATATTATATTATCTTAAAAACTGCCTAACTAATTAATATGTTATACTCTAATTAAAAATACTCTATCTCCAAAATCTTTTATAAACCTTAATTCTAGCACCAAATACTAATCTCCACATGAAAATTTGTGCTAAAATTTTATATAAAAATATATAATAGGTGCAAAATCATTATAGGTACATTTTATAATAAATATTTTCTACAATATTAAGTAAATTTATATTAGAACATAAAGAAATAACAGTTTAAATTGTTATAATATTAGACAAAATTACAATGGTGTCCTGTCGCTATGGCGACCTTTATATAACCGGCCAATCATTTTTGAGATTGCCGATCATATATAAACAATTGATAATCACGCTTTCTGTTTTTGTTTTTTTTTGTTTGCTGCTTTGCTTTTTTGCTGCTTTGCTTTTCTGCCACTTTGCTTTTTTGCCACTTTGCTTTTCTGCCACTTTGCTTTTTTGCCACTTTGCTTTTCTGCCACTTTGTTTTTTGCCACTTTGCTTTTTTGCCACTTTGCTTTTCTGCTGCTTTGCTTTTCTGCCACTTTGCTGCTTTGCTTTTCTTTGCTGCTTTGCTTTGCTTTTCTTTTCTTGCTGCTTTGCTTTCTTTGCCATTTTGCTTTGCTTTGCTTTTCTTTTCTTGTCACTTTGCTTTTTTTGCCTTTTTTGCCATTTTGCTTGCTTTTTTCTTTTTTTTGATTAGTTTTTTTTTCTTTTTTGTATTTTTTTTTTATTTCTTTTTCTATTCATTTCTTTTTTTTTTGTTTCTTCTTTCTATTTCTTTTCCTTTTGTCTTTTTTCCTTCTTTTTTCCTTCATTTTTTTCTTTTCATTTCTTTTTCTTTTTATTTCAGGAAGTTTTTTTTCTTTTTGTTTCTTTTTCCTTTTCAGTTCTTTTTTCTTTTCATTTCTTGTTCGTTTTCATTTCTTTCTATTTTTTTTCTTTATATTTCTTTTTCTATTCATTTCAATTTTTTTTTGTTTCTTTTTCCCCATTTCTTTTTTTTTCTTTGCTTTTTATTCTTTTTGTTTCCTTCCCTTTGTTTTTTTTGAAGGTATAGTTTCATCGTTGGAGTCATTTCGTTGTTGAAGTCATTGCTGGAGCTGTTGTTAGATGTTTGGGTTGTGAGATAAGTAGTTTCTTCTTTTTTTTTTTTTTCTTTTTTGAACTAATACTAACTTTCTTTAGATTTGTCTCTGGAAAGCCAGATAGTGGAAATTAGAACCAGAATTTTTGCAAGATACGTTTTTTTTTATGTTCACTTTTTTTTGCTTTTCTTTCTTTAAACTAACACTTTCTTTTTTTTGTAGGTTTGCTTCAGTGGAAAACCATAGTTCTGGGCTTTCGTCATTAGGTGCTGTTATTTAAGGAGTATGGTGATTCTGGGCTTTCATCGTTCGGTGCTGTCATTTAAGAAGTATGAAGATTCTGGGCTTTTGTTATTCAGTGCTGTAGTTTTGGGGCTTTCGTTGTTCGGTGCTGTAGTTTTGGGCTTTCATTATTCAGTGCTGTAGTTTTGGGGTTTTTGTCATTTCGGTGCTGTCGTTTATGAAGTATGGAGATTCTGGCTTTTGTTGTTCGGTGCTGTAGTTTTGGTAATTCTAGCTTTCGTGTTCAGTGTTGTAGTTTCTTTGGTCATTGGTTCCGTAGTTTGTAGAGATTCTGCACTATAGGTCTGCTATTCCAGTTAAATCTTGGACATAGATCGGAAGAAAGAAAAGTATTAGCTAATGCATTTTTCTAAAACTTCACGCTAATGATGCTGTTTTTTCAGAATTTTTGTCACTTCAGGTGTTGTCTTGATATTGTCGCAATATCATAGATTTTTTTTTTCACTTTATCATAGTTTTTTTTATAGTTTTTTTTTTTATGATATAATTAATTGTAATTGATATGAGTTATGATTAATAAAATTTTACTGTGATATAATCGACCAATAAAAATCGATCATATAAATCACATGCTCAATCAAGCACGTGAATCACGTGGTTTATTTTTATTGGTTGATCACAGGTCACTATAGTGATGAGTCATCATGAAATAATGCTCATAATATTAAACTGCACAGTAAAAAATTTATATCACAATTTTTGGAGTACTATTCTGGTCTTCTCTGGTATTTCTTGTTTTAGTTTAGCAATATTGTAGTGATTAGCCTTTGTAACAAAAATAGAATATGAATCAACTACTTTACAAGTCTGCGCTTAACTTTAACTATGTTATCTGTGAATCCTAAATTTAACTGCTTTCGCTCAACTTACTTTATATCTAACTATCCGCCTTATATTGGAGCAAAATAGAGTGATAGCTATAGTATAGCTGAGTTATTGTGTAGCCTTTTGCTTAATCTTTAAAAAGTTATTAGTTTGTAGTAAAATGGCATTTCAGTTTATTATAAAATTTAAAATCTGATATAGTATCAATCAGAAAATCAAATATTCCATAAAATGCATAAAAGTCTGATCAGCCCTTTTTACTTGGAAGTACTCATATATTATTATCCAACTCTTTTACAATAACTTTATTTTAAATATTTATCTATTCATATTAATGTATCTTTTATTTAACTAGCTTTTTATATTTATACTATCTATTATCTACTCCTTAACTATATTTTATAGTTTTAGTAATATATTTATACAATATAAATATAATAAATCTAGATAAGCTATAGCTTACCTAGCTAGTTTATATTATTCTTGATAAACTATCACAACTCTAATAAGTTTACACAGATCGAATAAAGAACTACCAGGTAGCTGTTGGGGCATCGATATAAGCTAATAGATCTCCTAATATAATATGATAGTTTACCAGTATCCGTATCCTTATATTCCCGATTTGATACCTATATTTATCTGAACTTTTGGCTCATATAGGGCACCTATTAGAAATAGATAGGACAAAATTAATATGCCTATAGGTTTTATCAATATTACTTTTGATAAACTGATAGATTAATCTGTTTAAGACCAGCCAGCAAATTATTATTTACCTATCACTTTTTTTTAAGACTTACTAGCATTTCGATAAGGCTATTACTTATATTATTTATGTTATACTGTACAACTAACGAAATATATTAAAAATATTTACAGCAATAGATAACCAAATTGGTTTATTTATATAGTATTTTTTATAATATATATAAAATCACTATGCTTAATACAATAATACATATGAAAATATAATTAACTAGCTTGTGAATGCTATATACTATATATCAATAAGTTTCATTTTCATACTAGAAATAGCGATGCTTTCTTTAGCTCTTTTTTTTGACGTATTATTATCTTTAGCAGTTCTACTGCCACTTGCGGTAGCATTATTGTCTGCTTTTAATTTATCAACATCATCATCATCTTCTTCTTCATCATCTTCTTCGTCAGAAATGTAAGAAGTTGAAATAGTCTAGGAGTGTTCTTTGCGAGCATTTGGCGGTAGTTTAGATTTAATGAACTATCTTTCATTATTGTACCACTGTTTCCTGGTACATTTCATACTTTGAACCTTTTCGCTGACTTGATTGGCTAGCTGCAAAATTTTTCTAATCTAATTTACATAGAACAAAGAATTGTAAAATAATATAATATATAATAATAATTATAACAATTATTTACCTTTCTGGATCTCCATGGTTTATCGTAAACACGAAATATATAATGGTCATTTCTTCCTTTAGATTTAGAATGAACTTTTAATTGACATTCCGATTGCGATTGTTCATTATCAGTTTCAGATTTTTTATCTGAATAGTAGTATCCATCGTTAATTATTTTCTCTATCTCAGCAGTTAAATCATCCCAACTCATAGAAGGGGCAAGGTCTTTAAGGTTTCTATTCTTCATACTAATTAAGTAGCTGATGCCACAGAGTCTTCTTCCTTTTTTCTATAGTTTAATAGATTATTTGTTAGTAATATCGGTTAGTCAGTATTTTATTAAAAAACAATATGATTAGCCTATTCTATTACTTATTATAAAACTATAGAAAACTTGCAAGTTATATAAACAGATTATATTTGTATTGTCATGCTTATAGTATTGTTAGTGAAATATTAGTAAAATACCAATATAATACATTTTATATAACTTGCAAGTTTCCTATAGTAGTATAAAAACAACTGAATAGGCTATACTTACTTCTTAGCACCTTCTGTTTATTCTTTTCATTTTTTATCGAAAGCCGATTTAATGGAGTCTGAATCGATTGTCCATTTTTCTCGTTGATGTTGGTGAAGAGTTTGAAGGACATACTTTAATTCATTCAAGTTATATCTAAAACTGCCTTCTAAAGCCTTTCTGATTGCAGGCATAATCCTATTGTATAATTGCGAGATATTTGGTTCTATTTTTTGGTATAATCCAAATGCAAACTATCATCAAGGCCATCTAATATTTG